ACATCCCAGTCTTATCTGCACTGTGAAGTTAAATGCCAAAAGCGTGCTCTATTGTGAATAGTGATGTTAATGTGCAACATTTCATTGTTGGTGATATTTTTAGAAAGATTTTTAAAACATTCAGGCAAAATAATAGATCCCAGTGGAAAATTATTTTTATTTCTTCCCCAACGCCAAATTCTGAGCTGAAACTGATTGGTTACCATATAGCATCATCTCAAACATGTAAAAAGCATCACAGGCTGCGGAAGTTCACCAGACTCCCCACTGACACTGGAAAATCAAATGAAACAGCCAGAGGGAGTTGTTGAAGGAGCAGAAATCTCTCTCTTCTTAAACAGAGAGAGAGAGTGAGTGAGGAAAAAAAAGAACAGTTAAAAAACCATCAGTAAACACAAGTTTAGTCCCACAGCAAAGAATCCGTTTAAATTTATTTGTAAAGAAGATAGCACTAGAGAGGACGGTTCTGCAGTGGCTGACAAATAGGGCGAGACACATCCAGTGAATGGGTTTTTTTTTTTCATTTTAGATTCTAGGTGGAAATTCACCAAAAGAAGATCTCAAGAGTTGAGCACCTGTTTGTCAGTGTTTTGGTTCATTTTAAACAAGAATCATCTGAATCCTCATCTCCGGCTATTTAAACTCCAGATCTGTAGGACTGCTGTGGTATGTGTGTGGCTAGCAAAGCAACTAGGGGCCAAATTCTTGCTCTCATTTCCACCATTGAAACTGCATTGAACTCACTGGGATTACATGGATGTATCTGGGGACAAAAATTCATCCCTGGTGTGATTGATCTGATTTCAGTAGTTACACCAGGGGTAAATTTGCCCAAGATTTTTTTAAGGGTGGAAAACTTGCAAAAATATAATGTAGTATTAAATTTATATCCCCTCCCCAGTTGCTTCTTTAATATCAGGGCATATGTTGGATGTTCTGCTGCCAGTCTATCTTTTATTATAGTTATTGCCTGACCAGATGGGGGAAGAAGAGCTATATGCACAGACACATTCCTATAAATATTTGGTGGCAGGAGGAAAGGAGTACTTGTGGCACCTTAGACACTAACCAATTTATTTGAGCATAAGCTTTCGTGAGCTACAGCTCACTTCATCAGATGCATACTGTGGAAAGTGTAGAAGATCTTTTTATATACACACAAAGCATGAAAAAATACCTCCCCCCACCCCATTCTCCTGCTCGTAATAGCTTATCTAAAGTGATCACTCTCCTTACAATGTGTATGATAATCAAGTTGGGCCATTTCCAGCACAAATCCAGGTTTTCTCACCTCCCCACCACCACCACACACACAAACCCACTCTCCTGCTGCTAAAAAGAAAAGGAGTACTTGTGGCACCTTAGAGACTAACCAATTTATCTGAACATAAGCTTTCGTGAGCTACAGCTCACTTCATCGGATGATAATCATACACATTGTAAGGAGAGTGGTCACTTTAGATAAGCTATTACCAGCAGGAGAGTGGGTTTGTGTGTGTGGTGTGTGGGGGGTGAGAAAACCTGGGTTTGTGCTGGAAATGGCCCAACTTGATTATCATACACATTGTAAGGAGAGTGATCACTTTAGATAAGCTATTACCAGCAGGAGAGTGGGGTGGGAGGAGGTATTTTTTCATGCTTTGTGGGTATATAAAAAGAACTTCTACACTTTCCACAGTATGCATCTGATGAAGTGAGCTGTAGCTCATGAAAGCTTATGCTCAAATAAATTGGTTAGTCTCTAAGGTGCCACAAGTACTCCTTTTCTTTTTGCGAATACAGACTAACACGGTGGCAGGAGGGTTAATCAACTAGTTTCCAAGTCCATCACAGCTTCCCCTCCCCTCCTGCAAAAGACTATTATGTGTCACATTTTGGGGGGTGGAGCAGGGCAGGCCTTGCTGTATTCTGTTCCCTTTGTGGTTTCTATTTCTCAGGGTGGATTGACATACATCAAACCAAGACTAGGATCCTGGCCCCAGCCCTTTCTAAATGATGACAAATCTCACCATTTCTGTTGCACATTTAAAAAACAAACAAACAAAAAACCGGAACCTGATGCATTCTGGTACAATAGTGCTGCAAAAATCTTGACCTGGCACCTGGTTCCTGCCAGTTTGGGCCCAGATTCCACAGACTAAATGGAGAATGTATTTAGCTGATGCTACTGCACTTTAATAACCTGGCCTTGAACGTGCCCCAGTACAATAGCACAATCAAGTAATCAAACAAACAAACAAACAAATAACAAATCTGGCTCCCAACACACTATGGTACCTGACAGCTGCAAAAATGATATTTTTAAAAAATATGTAAACCTGTAAACCTGCTGGATGCAACACATTTTGGTGACATTGCCCCGTCTCCTCCAATACACGTACTGCCTAAATGTATTACATAGTCAACTCCACCAGCATGACCTGGATCCAGGGGTGCGGGAACAGTTTGTATGGGGGGGTGCTGAGAACCATTGAACCAAACTGTAAACCCTGGATGTAATGGAAACCACTTCAAGCCAGGGGGCACTGCCGCAACCCCAGCACCTCTACTTCCAGCACCTATGTTCTGGATCCCAGCATTTCCTGGGACATGTTTCTGCAGTACTGTTGAATTTCACCATTTGAAATCTGGCTGGGTCCACCTGTGTTTTGTTACTGAACACTCAAATCAGACTATTACCATACAACCATATGGTTGGTTACAAGAATTCATCCTTCTTGAGCAACCTGGTAGGTATATGTCTATATATAGATATAGATGATGTTATAGTCAGTAGCCTTATTTACCGCTCCTCCTATGCACTTAGAAAGTTCAATTCAGTTTTAGCTATAATACCAGTTGTAGAGGTATTTTCCATTTGAAGTCCAGGGATTTAGGGAATCTCTCTGAAACTCGTAATACTTCTAAAACCAAAATGAACTTTTAAATGCGCACACATGAAATGCAACCTTTCCCTATTGCATGGTTGATCATATATGTATTTCTTAACAAATGGAAAGTGTAACATAGCAAGTCCCAGGGTTAGAAGAAGTTTTATTTTGATAGACCCATTTTAAAGCTACAGTGATGGGGATTTGAATATGACAAAAAAAGCTATACATCTTTTATGGAGTTCCGACTCCATCAGAACAGTCACAGCCTGCCAGCCCTTACAATATTTTTAGTTTGAGCTTTTGTGTTTTGATTTTGCTGCTGTTCCATCTGCTAAAGAAATAATGACCTGATTATTATCCTTGACCAAAGGGAGGGGAAAAATGTAGCTCCAGACTTAACAATTTGTACAGTTAGCAATTTATGGAACATTTTAGAACAGAGAATTGTTTCTAACACATTATTAAAATTATGTAGAATAAGTATAGCTAATTTTGTTGCTGTGTCAGTGGCCATGTGTACAGTGTTCAGGAGAGCTGAGAAATCGCCGCCCCCTCCCCGCCCCCTCCCCCCCCCCAATCACTGATGCACCATAGGATGTTGGGATCTGGACTATTTTGGTGGAATATGAGGAATCACATAAATAACAAATTTAGATGATAAAACTGGGGATATAACCAGCCCAAACCCAACCACATACAGTAATATACACCTGTCAAATTAGAGTGTTTTGCAGTTTCTTGTACCAGCCGGGATCTGGATTTTGGTGGTAGTAGACGCAACACCTTATGTCCTATTTCAAAAGGACAATTACTGAGTCTGGAGCCAAAATCTGGCAGACTTTTGTGGTGCTGTGGGTCCAGGTGGGGGCCTCAGAGTCTGGATTTTTAAGGCGAAGTCTGGATTTTTTGTGCGTGGTGCTTCTGCAACAGGCTATATCAGAGTCGGGTTTTGCTTTTTTGGTACAACAGGAGCCGCTAGACGTGTTCTGCGTTCAAGCAGTAGGCTTTTGGGAGGGCTGAGGCCAAACTCTGGCAGCTTTCAACTTTTCCGTTTTCTCTCTATACTAAAGTGCAATCATTAGAAGATCGCGTGGGGGGGGGGGGGGGGAAGGAGCAATGCACCTCTTTGTTCCCTGCAGTGACTGAGATGATAAAATCTCCCTTGGCTCGCCCCGGTGCCTGCCAGCCAGCCAGCCACTCCCCAGCCCCTGCGATGCCCTAGGAGGCTCCTGGCTTAGTGACTGCTGCTGGGGGGGGCTCTAAGCTACCGTCTGCGCTCCGCCCTCCCCCCCCGTGCTGTGATTGTCTGGGTACCCGGGTGGGTGCCCTCTGCACGTGGATTGGTGAGCCTGGCTGCCTAGCGAGAGGCTGGGCTCTTTGGAGTTGTATTTATTTATGCATGCATGCATTGATGGTTCCTCCTCTTGGATTATTTCGCCGGCTTAAAAAAAACAACAACCCAAACCACCCTGGATTTGGCGGGTCGGGACCAGAGGAGGAGGAGCTGGGGGGCCGGGGGCCTGCATCCCGCGTGGAGACCAACTTCTGGGGCATCCTTTGAGTCTCCAGCTGCCCCTCCGCCGCCGCCGCTCCTTCCCCGGAGCGGTGGAGACTCTCCAGCCGTGGGGCCGGGGGGGAGTCCCCCGCGGAGTTGAACAAGTGACTGAGCAAAGAGCGAGCGAGAACTAACGCCCCGCCGCGGTGCCTGGCTGGCGTCTGGGCGGATCAGCATCACCCCCTCCAGGGAAACTTTCCTGCCGCGCCGCGGCCGAACGTGCTTCCCCGGTGGGATGTGGGGACCTGGGTTACACAATCAAGCCGCGCTGCTGAGCGTGGCGGGGGAGGCTCCCCCCCGTCTCCGGCTAAGCGGGGAAGGGGAAGTGTGTGTCCCCCGGTAGCGCCCTGGGCTAGCGCGTGGGGTCGTTTGCCTGCAGCTTCCAGGGCTGGTGTGTTTAGTTTGATGTGTGCGCGGGGGGGGGAGCTGTTTACTTTTTAGGTGATCGGGGCTCAGGACTGAAGATCTAGCTCAATCGGCAGAGTTTGGGCTCAACGTATTGCACCCGGCTGTTGGCGGGTGGGTTTGTTTTAATCGCCCTGGGGGGGGGGGCGAGGGGGGCGGAGAAGGAGGAGAAGGGAGGGTTAAAAAACGAAACTGAAGAAACAATTCGTCTCCGCGAAGGAAATGCCTTCTGCGCTCTCCAGGTGACCTTTTCTGAAAATGCAACCTCTCCAGCTGATTGGCTTTTGTTTTGATTACAAAGTGTGTGAAATAGACCCCTAAGTTCCCTGCAGACACGAGCATGAGGATGTGCACTTCTGGGGTTAGCAATATGTGGCAGCTCCTGTCCCTGTTCCTCCTCAGCCTGGCAGCGGTTTTTTCCAAAGGTAAGGAGCAATTTCTTTCTGCTTTTCCTTACATACAGCAGCCTCTCAGGGTGCCGTGGATATTGGCTTCTTCTGTAGGATTTATGGCTGACACGTTTTTTGTTTTGTTTTTGTTTTTGGAGGGGAGGAGGATCTTTGTGTTAGGCAAACACAAGAAGGCATTCTGAAAAGAAATCGAGTGCTAATTGTCAAAGCCAACCTAAAGAATTTCCCATCCTTTCAGATCTCCATTTGTGACCTGTCCACTATATCTGCGTTCATGTATACGGTGCTGGTGGACAACCTCTGATGTGGACTACAAAGGTTTTTAGTTAGCTGGGGTTTTAAAATTCTTCAGGAGTACCAGAGTTTGGGTTTAAGTTCCCTAGCTTTATGCCCCATGTAATAATTCAGGTGAAAGCCCGTGTATCTCAGGCTGATAGTCTTTTAGTAGGACACATGATATTAACTAAATACCATCCTTCCAATAAAAATATAGGTTGGTTACAATTTCCAGGAGATGTTAATTATTCTGAGTTCTGGTGATTGCAGAATTTCAATATGTTGAATTGAATTGGAATTTTTTGACATCCTTCCTGAGCGAGTGGCCTCTCTCTGTGTTGCCCTGGAATAAAGTTACAAAAAGGTTTACAAGGCCAAGTTACATACGGCCCCACCCACCCGCAACTTTCTTGCAATCAAAAATTCTCCTTTTACTCTTAAGCTTCTGATGCTTGGTCTCAGCCCACAGATCAATTTATTTTTTCAATGCATGAAGCAAATCTTTTAATTCATTCTTGAGTTATCAAAATAAGGGCGGGCAGGGGGATATACATTTTCTGCTAGGAAGATATTAAGGACTTGTTTGTGCCTGAATATCTAAAAACTGGCTTGAATGTTACTGCTTTAGAATTTACAGGCCACCAGTCCTCAGTGAGGAATAGTGGTCATATGAGTTTATACCTGGAATTTTTTGGTAAAAATATTTTAAATGAGTTTTGTCTATGTGCAGTGAAGTATTTTTTAAAAGGGGGTTTTGTTACATAATTGCCAGTGGCACTTCAAAGTTGCAGCACGATTATAGTGCAATTGTATAGTGGCAGACTTAATATTTTTTGTGTATCTAAAGATTGGATGAGTTTAAAACCTATTGACTGGAGAAAAAAATTGTGCACAGACCACAGTTCTGTATTTCCACAGTTGCACAGGTAAGGATTTTCCTTTTCCCTCTTCTATTTTTAAACAAATTTAAGAACTCCCAAAACAACCCAAAGTACATTAAATGCAAAACCCTATATGAGTGCAACTTTAAAGTTGCAAATGAAAACCCACGAAAATCAGGGAAGAGAAAGATTATGGTTCTTGCTCTAAGATTACTTCATTCACATTACAAATCCGTAGCTTTTGATCTCTAGTTAGGCTGCTAAATGTGTATTTTACTACAAGCAATATCTTATTTTAATCAATAAACACTGCAGTGATAATATTAACTTTTTGATTTCCTGGTTTTTTGCGTGTATTTCAATTTGCAGCCTTAATGCCGGATTAACAGCGGGTTTGCATTTGATTGAAACTCATTGCAACCTTGAAATAAAAGTGTATTTGAGAGACCTACAGAATATATTTGCTTGAAATTGATGGTTTGCTGCTTGGATCAGAAATTATAATATACATCTGAGATTTTATTTTTAACTATTAAACCACCCCCACACTATTTTGAAAGATAAAAGTCTGGCAGAAAATTGGATTTGGTAAGGATATTTTGTTAAATATATTAATGCAAAAACTACAACCTGAGGTTTTTTATACAAACTGTGAAGTCTCATTAAGTCTAGTACCTTTTGAATTACATACACCTGATCATATTAGTAGTTCTTCTAGAATCATTGGTATTGCTTATTTTGTATTTTAGAGTTGATAACATGCTGTTGTATGGTTGTTGGGTCTGTGTATTGTGTTGTGATTTAGAAAAAATATTCTGGGTACATAGCTATTTTCATATCTAGTAACAGACTCAGATCTTATTATGGTGACTTCGAACAATCAGAAAGACCAGAGGTTTCTAGAGACTTACAATATGAATTAGAAGACACTGTGCAAAAGGTCGATCTCCCTAACAGAAGGAAAACTGAAAAAATAATCAGTCTTGATTATTGCTACAGGGCATAATTCTTTGTTTGATGCCTTGTTGTTGCTAATAGAAATGCTTCTTTCATTTATGACATTATGGCAAAGTTTTAGTGAGAGAGAGACACGCTTTTTTTAACAAGCAATAGCAATCAGTTGCCTATTGTGTATATAGGTCTGTTGCTGATTACTTTGAAGCATGGCAACAAGGCTTCCTTACTACAGGTTTCCAAGACTTGAAAAGCATCATTAATGGTTTTGCTTTGCTTTTATCCTGTGAAGGTGGAAATTAATTAAAGCTCAAGAGGTGAAATGTTGTCCTGTTTTCTGTAATGAGTTCAGCATTCTCAGCAAAACTACTTGTGAATGATGATGTGGTGTGTGTACTTAAATATGTATGGTGTGTGGCTGTACAATTCCAGTTATGGTCCCAAATCCTGCTCCCAGTCAGTTAGTTTTGCCATTGATATCAATGGGAACAGAATCCGTTTCCAACTATAGAAAACTTCTTCAGAGATTTTCAGTAGTAAAATTCTGAATCTCTTGTAACCAAAAATAAACAGGCTCAATAACAGGGATGTTTTGTCCATGTTTTTAATGCTGAACAGCTGCTTGTTTTAAGGACAAAACTGTCACTGGCCTCAATGGGGTTAGGATCGGGCCTTTGATATCTCCTCTCACACCCCATATCTCTTTAGGGCCCAGTCCTGCAATGAGCTGAACATACCTGAAAGGTGCTGAGCACTCTTAAGATTCTTCCAATGGGAGCTGAGCAGGGGTGTTCGAACAATTTGTATAGTGGGGGTGCTGAGAGCCATTGAACCAAACTGTAAACCCTGTATATGATGGAAACCACTTCAATCCAGGGGGTTCAGCAGCACCCCCTGCACCACTAGTTCCAGCACCTGTGGAGCTGAGAGGCATTACGCATGCATGTTTGGCCGATAAAACCCTCTGTCAAATGTTGGAGATCCTTCACTTTAAACCAGTGGTTCTCAACCTTTCCAGACTACTGTACTGCTTTCAGGAGTCTGATTTGTCTTGCATACGCCAGTTTCAGTCACTTAAAAACTACTTGCCTACAAAATCAGACATAAAAATATGTCACAGCACACTATTACTAAAAAATTGCTTGCTTTCTCATTTTGTCTGTATGAAATTTTAGTTTGTACTGACTTTGCTCGTGCTTTTTATGTAGCCTGTTTTAAAACCAGGCAAATATCTAGATGAGTTGATGTACCCCCTGTGAGATCTATGCGTACCCTTGCTTGAGAACCACCGCTTTAAACAACAGGCCCAAGCTGAGATGAGCAAAATGGTGCCAGCAAGAGAATGTCAAAGTGGTCTTTTGCCCTCCTGCATTGTCCTAAGCATCCCCTGGGAGGTCATTTTCCAAGGTAATTTCTTCTTTGGCCATAAAGCTTCTGTTTGGGTTTTCTGTTTCCCGCAGGTGCTGAAGACCATTTGTTATAAAAGATAGAGGCATGGCAGCCGAGTTAGACAGGATTGCTTTCCTAAAGGTGTTTCCTGCAGGTTTGAGAGATGGGAATTCCACTTGCAGTGATGCCAATCTCCTAATTTAGGAAAGGGAAAAGAATCTCCCAAGGAACAAAAACAATACTGTTTGATTGGACCTGGCTGTTTTAGATATAAACATCTGATAGAAGCAGATGACTATTAGGATGGAACAAATGCGCTACTGTTTTGTTTTATATTATTAAAGTTGTGCTTTATTGTTCTTGGAACCCTCACAATAGTGTCAGTTACATCACATAATCCCCCCCTCCTTTTTTTTGTACACATAGGGCCAAATGTTAGCCTTGGTTACATCTGCTCAACTCTGTTGACTTCCATAAGGTTACACAGATATCGAAATATGGCCGATTGCCCATAAGAAATACCCAGTTACTGCCATTAGAGTCTGCATGAAAGGAGGGTCGTAGTTGTACAGGAAGTTAACTACCTTGGTGCTCACTCCTGCATCTGTTGTTTTCAGTGGGGAAAAATGAGTGGACAAAGAATACAGGCTCAAGCTCTTTGCTTATGTTTCTTCTATGTTCCAATCTTCTACTAAGTTGTGAGCCATTTCGGAAAGAGCTCCATAGGCATATTTCCGAGTGATGTCAATGGGAGCTCTGAGAATGGGGAGTTTATATTTCCATTTTCAATATTCTTATTCACAATAAAGTGCAAGCACATGTGTTTCACTACAGTTTCTTCTGGATCATTGCTCTGAAGCATTACAGGGTTTATTTTATTGGTAAGGGAAAATTGTTCTGTATTTGCTAGTTGTGGTTGTAATTAAAGAATCCTGAGCTTGATTTAAAAATAACATTTCTCTTTCTTTTAACACTTTCTGGTATCTCTAGACAGGCGAGCAGGGTTGAATTTCACAGTTAGTGGGTCTAATCGACATTTTGCAATCTGTGATTTGTTTTGGTAAGAGAAGCTTGTTGTTTTTGATAAGGAAACAAATATTCTTTTAATGTCACAATAGTAATAACACTTTTGGGAGTCAGTTGTCAAAAATGTATCTGTTGCTGTAGCTACATAACTTTAAATTGGTATTTATGGCTAATTTACCATATGTTGAAAATTGTCCTCCTTCTGTGTGTGTGTGTGTGTGTGAGAGAGAGAGAGAGAGAGAGCTGATGGAATGACTCAGCAGAAACAAACCACAGATGTAATCAGCAAGGGTTTTTCCTCAAGTGCTGTTGTCTATAGCCAGAAATCAAAACAAGTTTGCTTAAGCCCCCCAAAAAGTAACAGCAGCCCCAGCCTGAGGTTCAAGCCAGTCTGGTGAAATGGGCATTCTCTCACTGTCCCACCTGCAGCTAATTGAGAGTCCTTTGGGATATTCTGCCAGGGTGGGGAGTAAGATTAACCCCTTGGTC